GGAGTTTACAGGTTGGTTTAAAAATGCTACAGGAAAGTTGTTCCCTGTTCAATTCTATTGAATTTTCTTTAAGGGAAATATGACGATCTTACTTCCCCTTCAGTGTAGAGGAGAGGGAGACAAAACTTTAACTTTTTTCTTTCTTTTTGTTGGATCTGTGGTAAAATATGACGTCTGTCCTCTGGCAGCTCTAGGAAGCAGTGTCAGCGTCCATAAAGATGTTTCCATTTGCTAACAACCCTGAGATCAGCAATGCTACTCGGCTTCGTTTAAACCCCAGGGGGAAGAAAGCCGTTTAACTTTGTGTATATCTAAAATTTAATTCTAATCTTGCTTCTGTGTAACTACGTTCTCTGCCACAGTTGAAGTCACATCTGAGGCTAGAGTTTCAAAGAAGCTCGAGGCAGTTGGTACCAAATCAAATAGGGCAAATGGAACTTGGGGATCCAGGTTCATCCCCTTTTGAAAATCCCATTGTAACATACTGAAAATGATGCTACCTTTTTTCCACATTGAAATGCAGCAAAGGATCTTTTCTTTACATTCTTTTGCATTACATTTCTATTTCTGCTCTGCTCACAAACCTTGTTAGTATGTCTTAAGTGTTGTTTTTCTAGAAATCTGAGTCTCTCTGACTCTTCCAGTAAACAACAACTAACATTGAGCTAGGCTCTAATTACAAGAGCAGCAACACATATCAGTATGGTAACCAATGACAAAAAGCCACTAAACTGGAGATGCACTGAAGTGTTGCAACTGGAGGGGGAGTCATTGGAGTCATTTTTCCTACGATACAAGAGGACATAAATCCTCTCTGAGAAATGCAAAGGAATATAATCACTGCTCATGTATAAAAATGAACTTTTTTGACTGTGTCCTCTTACTGCAGTAACTAATGAACAGTTTTTTTGGCCTATATCAGTCCTGTAAGCACTAACTAGAACAGTGGGGGACCTCTTTTTGGCAGTTGTGCCACAAACTAGCCCCACATGTTCCCTAAGTGCCACTTGAATCCTCTTCCTCTGCCTGATCTTCTGCTCTCCTTCCTGCCCTACTTGCCACTGTGCTGCCTGTCGCCTGCTGTGTGCCACACACAGAGGCTGCCTGTACCACTTCTGGCACCCCTATCTTTTTAGTTATTCTAGTTCAGGGGTGGCCAACCAAAGCTGTTAAATCCTTGGTCTTTTTTAATAAATAGGACTAATATGGTGAAAGATATTCCTGTACTACTAACAAGTTCTTCTAAGTGTGTACACATGGCAATTGGGCTACAGTTTCTCCACCAAGGTCTTTCTTCCAACCCCATGATATCCAAGGGTTCTTTCTGTGCAAGGCAAGGCCCGTTGGATAGGGCCTTAAATTCAGATGGTCTTCTGAAGGTAATCAAGAGAGTTATTACTTCCTGGAAATAATACACCAATACATGCCTTTCTTCCTTTCCAGGAAAGGGTTCAGTCTTGCCTCTCACTTATTTGCTGTCTTAGGGACTGGAAACAACCTGAGATACCTGGGAGGCTGTCAAGAACACTTGCTAGAACAAGTGACCTTCAGGACTATGGCCTGTCACTGTAGGGTAACTTTGTTCAAATTAGCTACTTACATAGGTAGTGCTTTGAGCTTCCAAAACTTTCTTAAAATACGTAGTTTGAGGCTCTGAATCAACTCAGCCCCTACCCATTCCAATTATTTCAAGATGCGGTAATACTTTTCTGAATAAGCAAGCTATTTATAGTAATAGCCGCCTTTGCTAGAAAATGACATGCATGCTGACTACTTTCGGTTCTTCTGTAACAGGCTGTCACTTCCTACTTACTCTCTCTTCTTCTCAAAAAAAAAAAAAAGGCAGGTTATAATTATATAATTATAATTAGTTATAACCTCAGTGAGCCCCTATGGCACTAACTCTAATCCCTTGTCAGAAATGAGCTGACTCTAGACTCTAGCTCATCTGCTTCTAGAGGCAACATTTTCACAACAGAAAAGGCCAGGGCATCTGAAGAAGCAGAAGTGCATTTTGTGTGACCTAGTAGTACCAGTTGCCATGTCTTTGGCTACTAAGTGTATACAAGACTACCCCCTGCCTCGGTGAGGGCCTGCACCCCCTTGAGCAGCACCCTTCCCAGCATCATGGTCTCAGCATTTTGTCCCCAAACAACAGTCCTCATGGCTTCAGGGGGTGTCTGTGATCTTTCCTAACTATCTCTTGGTGTCAGGTGGGCCGATCGCCCATGACCTCCATTCTTTAAGGGGTTGATTAAACTGCTGTTGAAAGAGATCTTAAGGAGGAAGCTTGTTCTTTTTGCCATCCTGCATAGCTGGGCACTGGCCACTCAAGTGAGTTGGCTGGGCTCCAGCTCTGCCTTCCACAAACAGGGCCCATGCTTCCCCAAATGAATATGTGGTTTGGATGATCTCCTCTGTTTGTTTAAAAAAAAAAAAAAAAAAAAAAAAAAAAAAAAGGAACC